GAGGCAAAGAGTGGGGAGGCAGCTGGCAGCCCTGCAGCTGCTCCTGCCCAGCCCAACCGAGCAGGCAGAGAAACTCCGGGTCCCCCGGGAGAGGCCAGGGAGTTTGCAAGAGCCGCCAGAGTAGATCGTGGACACACGAATGGAGCCCCCACTGGTCCTTCCTGGGACCTTGAGAGACCCTGATGAGAAGCTGGCCTTGAGGCATTTGGCAGCCATGGCTTCAATAGCACAAGGGTAGATCTTCGAGACCAGGCACCCCCAATGCAGAGAAGCAGCATCTCATCCTGTGTTTATATCTCTGCCCCAGTGGGCGTTGGCTGGTACAGGGTGTTTTCTCCTCGTTAAAGTTAATACCACTTTCTATCAGAACCCCTCATTAACCTGTTATTTAGCTTCCCATGAACATTTCCCGGCCTCGTAAAAAAGGAGCCCCACTGGACCAGCGGCTACATCGAGACTCATCTCCACCACCCCGTGTCGCCGGGAGGACCAAGTCTCTGTTCATCAAAGGGGCCTGTCATCAGCGCCCAGACCTCAGCCTCCTTCTTAAGAGGTGTGGGAGTCCACACACTGTCTTGACTTTCTTCAGCATTGTCTCCTTTTATGAGCCCAGGGGAGCAGAGGAGGCCTCAGGCTGGCTCCTGGGAGACAAAAGAACAAGCAGGGTGTTGCAGGAAGGCACACAGAAGGTTCTAGAAAGGCCTAGGAAACTTGTCTCCAGTGGGACCAACCATCCCAGTTTCCCCAGGATTGTTCTGGTTTTAGGGATAAAGCCCCACACCCCAGGGAACCCCTCAGTCCCGGGCAGAATGGGATAGTTGGTCACCCAGATACAACAGACCCTCGAGGGAAACATCCCCACTGCCCTTCTCGCCAGGAAATCTGCTCTGTTGTGTAACCTCAGCCAGCCAAAAAGACTGAAAGGTCAGCTAACTGCGCACCTGCTCATGCTGACACCGCCCGTGGGTAAGAAGGTCTGTCTTCTCGAGCCCTGGTTGGAAAATAGGAAAGCCTTTGTTTCTGGTTGTCCGGGGAGAGGGGAGTGGCTTTGATTCACGGGCCTCCCCAGAGGCACACAGAGCCTGACCTTCCTTCAGAGTTTCATCTCTGCTGCAGGAGTTGTCTGGAGTGAGGCCAAGAGCCTGGCAGGGCTAGGTTTTTATTTTCCAGCAGGTCCAATCTGCTGAGCAAGTGAGACCCTTTAGAGGGGCCGGGAGCTGAGCAGAGGGCAGGTGGAGCCAGGGATGGGGGTCTTGCCCTCTGGTCTGCCCTGTGGTCTGGTGTCCTGCTCACTCTTCCCATCAGGAGAGCTACCATCAGCCATGCACCACGTCAGTCCTTACGTTGCTCTGTGAGCCCGAGTGTATCATCCCCATCTCAAAGCCCAAGGAAACCAAGACCCAGGGGAGATAAGAGCTTGCCCAAATGTCTGCAGCTACAGAGCCAAGCTGTCACCCCGAGTCTGGCCTGGCCCTCTCCACTATACCACCCACCTCCCCCTCTGCTCTAGAATCCCATCCCGGGCTGCCGGATGTGGTCGGGCTCCATGGAGAATGAAAGGGACACGACTGGATGGCCTCCAGCAGGGGATGGCCAGCAGCCGCTGGGGGTGTCCCAGGAGAAGCAGCACAGCCTTGTGATAATGTGTGAACTCCGTGGGTTCAAATCCCAGCCCCACCACGTACCAACTGTGTGAATTCACTCCCCTCTGCCTCCTCTGTATCCTTCCCTGTGAAAATTGGAAAAGGATGATAGGACCCACTTCCTAGGGCTGCTGTGAGGACAACATGAGTTTGAAGCATCAGAACAGCACCTGTTCACACTAAGTGCTTGGTCATGGCAGCTGCTATGGTCGCCAGTCCCCACAAGGGTGGAGGCTTGTCCTCAGATAGATGATGCTAAGCAGCTGTCACTAGGGAGTGTGGATGGGCTCTGAGCACACAGGCCACCATCCCACGGGCCAGGTGCGTGTGTTTGGGGCCCTTGGATATAAAGCTCCCATGAGTCACCGTGCCCTTCCCATGCCCAGGGGCCTGGTGTGAGTGGGCCCGCCTAGCACAGTCCCAGGGCCCCATTGGCTGCCTCAGCCTCTGTCTCCTGGAAATCCATGCTCCAGTGCAAAGGACGCAGCTGAGCCGAAAGTCCGACTGCGCCTCCATGGGTGGTTGCGTTTCCCACCCATAGTGGTACAGGCTCCACCCCAGCCCTGCTGAGCCACAGCCTCCCAGGGAACATGCTCTGGCTCCACAAGGACCACCCTGGAGCCACAGGGTCCAGAGAAGCCACAGTAGCCAAGGCCTGGGAAGCCCCATGCTGTTCTACAGCCCAGGGGTGCAGGGGTTCCCAGGCAGGGCTTCGCACCTCTACCGCCTGGAAGGGGTTCCTCCTCGCCGCCAGGTTAATAAGGGGGCTAATGGAACCAGCCATCATTCACTGACCTCTCTCCATGCCTTCTCTCTTTCACTCCTCACCATAGCCTCCTGAGATGGCATTCCCCCTATCCCCATTTCATAGATGAGTAAACTGAGGCTTGGAATATTTCAGGATCCTGCCTGAGGTCACACAGCTGGCGAACAGCAGAGCCGGCAGAACCAGCCTTTGTGCAGCCATTCAAGGTGCATCTTTCCTTAAGCCCCCCGCATGGCCTGCCACACAGCCGTAGGTAGTGGGGCGCTGCCTCCCGGTGTGGGGAATGCTTACTTGAATCTTCATAGTCTTCCCAGGGAGACCGAGGCCCAGGCCTTCCAGCTCCAGACACCAGGCCTGCCCCACTGCCACTGGGGGCCCAGCCCCAGCCTGGCCTTCTCCCTCAAGCCTGCCACCTTCCCCAGCCCTGCAGTGCCTCCCGGCTCTGAACACCCACGGCGGTGACCAGAGGTTGCTCCACTGGCCCTCCACTCACCGATGTCCTCTGATTGTCTTGTGTTCCGGCCCGCTCTGCCCAGGGAGACTGTAAGCTCTTGGGGGCAAGGACTGACCTCGTACTTCTTATGAAACCTCTGTCTTGTGGGACTGTTCGATGTTTCATCATGTATGAATGGATGGATGGGTGGATGGATGGATGGATGCTTTGCCTAGGGGGAACTGTGCTTAGTAAGGAGGCAAAGAAAGGATTTTTTGAAGAGAGAGGGAGAATAGAAAGGGAGGGAAAGAGGAAGTAAGGAGAGAACAAAGGAGGAGAGAGCGGGGAGGGAAAGAGACTTCCAAAGGCAGCCTTACTATCTCTACTCTCACAGATGAGGAAACTGAGGCTCGATGACGTCAAGCAATCAGGCATCTTTGTGTAAATGCCACACCCGCCCAGACTAACCGACCCCTTTGGCAAAGAACAAAATATTCTTCTGGGCCAAAAGCCAAAGGGAGACAGACCCTAAGCCAATGCAGTGCTGAAGGTGTGGTAAGAAGTCTTGATAAGTTTTTTAGGTAATTTTATAACACATCAGTAATAATTTTTATAAGGAAAACCCTTTTTGCGCTGTTCACCCAGCACCCCTCCCTCTCTCGTCTGAGCCCTTGTTGTGTGATGCCTTGAGCAGTAATATTTTGAAAGCTATTAAGTAGCGTATAAGTTATTCTGGTGTAGTTCCATTTTTTGCTTAGCGTTCTTTTTAACAGAATAGAATCTTACTTAGAACCCCCTTATCAGTAAGAATGAATATCATTTAGTAAGTATCCTAATAATTTTCCCTTCAGGACCTTCGCACTCTGCTCGGATGGGGTCCGTGCTGTGCCCAGAACATGCCACGGGTACACTTGGCCGTGTCCTAAAATACGCTTTTCCCTCCTTCTTACTTCTGCCCATCCTTCAGGGTTCCCCTCAATTCTGAATCTCCCCTAAAGCCTCCCCTGGACTCCCCAGCTCTCGATGAGCTCTTCCCTCCTGAGAACCTGAAAACCAGCCCCAAACCCGCACCTGCTGTCCCTGGGGCTGTGTGGCAGCGCGTGGGGGGAATCTCACATCAGCAGCTGGGAAACAGTGCCTGTTCCCCACCCTATGTTGTAGCTGTTTCCCGCACCCCTGCTTTCCCTAGATAAACCCATACATTAACATTTTCCATTCACAGGATGTTCAGTCCTTATCTGGTGATGGATTCATTGATCTGAGTACGTGAGAACAAGAAAGACAGCCAGATAGCAGAGGTGGAAAGTACAAACAAGACCAGACTGCGTTGAAAGTATTACGTTCACTCTGGGGAAATTTGATAAAATAGGATGCTTTTAGATCACCTCTCTGTTGATGTCAAGAAAAGAGCAATGATGTAGGAGTCAAAACACCTGAGGAAGGGTCAGTCTGCCACTGGCTGTGGCAAATGCCCGCTCCAAACAGCGTTGAACTGCTGAACAGCCGAGCTTGCACGGTGGCTGGAGATGTACACTGGAGCTCAGTTAAGGGTAGGTGTGAAGTTGAGAGCATGGGATCCTTAACCAATGCAGAGGCTCTGAACAATTTGATAAAAAGCTAGACAAAGCGACATAATGCGCCGCTGACACACAGGCTGATTGAATGCATGCAGTGAGGCTTTGGGTTTCCTCTGCTCCGAATTCACCCAACCCCGCTTCCTGGGGTGCTTGGCCCAGGCTGGCTGCTTGGAGTTTGCCTCTCTGGTTGGCCCTGGAACCCACCCCCTCCTGTGTCCCCAGGGTCATAGGAGCTGGACAAGGGAGGAGAAACTGAAGAGAAGAGAGTGAACCGCCAGATCCAGGCAGGGCTCCTGAGGAGGATGGCCTGGGAGCCTTTGCCTCTTCTGAGGCTGCCCCAGGTGGTCGCCATGGGCAGGGCCAGGCCTGTAGGTTATGGCCAGCACCCATCCCGTCTGGGCCAGCGTCTGTTCTCGTGGACTGGGCCCTGGGGTTTCCCCATTATGAAGTATTTTGATTCACCCTATCACTTCCTCCCACTCAGAGCCAGAGAAGATAAACCCGAAACCAAAACCTACACCTTCACAGCAAGCCCTGATCAGACACCCCCACTAACCAACCACAGAGAGTAGACAGAGGCCAGTTTGCTATGCCAAGAGAACACACTTTATTGGGTAAATTTCTAGGGAAACCCAGTTTTATGTGGCGTAAAAGCGGTTAAGTCCAGAAACACACAATCTAAGAAGTATTTTGGTAGAAAAATCTGCTAAGCCAGGGACTGTGGGTTGGGGGGGGGGTCCCTCTAGGGTAGAGGGGATTGTGAAGAGCCAGGAGCCACAGGGGTGTCCTCCTTCCTGTGGGTCAGGGCCTGCCTCTCTGGGCCGGGTGGCTGGTTACAGCGGCTGCACACGCTCCCTGGAGGAAATGACTTTCCCATCTCTGATCTCCTCCGTGATGGTGCGGATCTGGGTGCTGAGCTGGGCAGCTGGGGCGCAGGGCACAGTCGGGGCACAGGGCACGCTTGAGATGTGAGGAACTCTAATGGCAGGCTTGCACTCCGTGGCACAAGGGTGGGCAGGCAGCCTGAGGAAAGGCGATCATGTCAAGGTGGGTTTGACATTAGCTACTGGACCAACACTAACGTTAAACAGATTTAGCAGGTCAAGTGAGATAGGTAGGTGACAATGACAAACAACTTCAGACCGTGCCTCTGAAATCCCCGAGGGTTTCAGGGACGAAGACCACAAACTCCCAGTCACAAACAATGGTGGGAGAAGTGCTGTGAGTGGGGCCAACTTGTCTCACTGCAAATGCCCGAAGCCCAGGGCAAGAAGGATCTCTCTCCAGAGGCTTTGATCAACCCCCCTTCATCTGTGCAATAACCACTTCAGGACTGATGCCCTCACGGCGGCACTGAGGGTTGGGTCCCAGTGAGCCCTGTCCCCCAGCGGGGACCTCCAGGGCCCACCCGCCTCCCCGGGCCACTCACCTGCAGTCTTCTCCCTCCAGCAGGCGGCGGTAGGTGGCGATCTCCGACTCCAGGCGGGCCTTGACGTCCAGCAGCACTTGGTACTCCTGGTTCTGCCGCTCCAGGTCACAGCGGATCTCGGCCAGCTGGGACTCCACGTTGGTGATCAGGCACTGCATCTGGGCCAGCTGGGAGCTGTAGCGGGCCTCTGTCTCCGCCAGGGTGGATTCCAGAGAATTCCGCTGCAATGGGAAACAGGAGACACTGCCAATGGGAGGGAATCCTACCCAGAGACGCACAGCCCTGGGCATCTGCAAATGGCTGGTGACCACGCCCCAGGATAACTGAGGCTGGTGGATCGGGGGAGCCTGCCATGAGCTTGGGCAGCCACGCAGGCAGAGGCCACTCACCATGCTGTGCTGGGCCTGCAGCTCGATCTCCAGGGCGTTGACATTGCGTCTCAGCTCGATGAGCTCTGTCTGGCAGCACTGCAGCTGCTCCGAGCTGGACACCACCTGCTGGTTCAGCTCCTCAGTCTGAAAAGCACAGAGGCCCCAGAGCACGGTCAGAGCAAGTAAAGCTACTGTCAAGGTGACCCCCACCCCAGGAGCTTGTCCTGGGCTGCCCTGGCCCCACCTGGGTGTTGAACCAGGCCTCCACGTCTCTACGGTTATTCTCCACCAGGGCCTCATACTGGCATCTCATCTCATCCAGGATCTTGTTGAGATCCACTGGTGGGGCAGCATCCACCTCCACATTCAACCGGTCCCCAAGTTGGCATCGAAGTGTGTTGACTTCCTGCAGAGAGGAAACAAGATGGTGTAAGGTTGTGAAAAGTATGCTCGTTGCAGGTTCCACTGACCTGGGTAAAACCTTTCCTCCTTCAGTTGCCAGCTGTGTGACATTAAACAGGATGCTTAACCTCTCTGAGCCCCAGTCTCCTCATGTACCTATACCGACCTCCTCAGAAGATTTGGAAGAGTGAAGCGAGATGATGCAAACACCAGGCAAGCTGAATCTGTATTAAGCACTGCTGTCCAAATGGAGATTGAGTGTCCCAGCCAGGAGTCTGGTGACCTTAGGCAAGTGACTTAACCTCTCTGTGCCTCAGTCTTCTCATCTGTCAAATGGAGCTTATAATAGCATATACCTCCTGGGATTATTGTGAAGATGAAATGAAATGAGAATGAAATGCAAAGTGCTTTCTATCATTCCTGGCACAGAATGAGCCATCACTAAACATCAGCTGGAGTTACTGTGGAGGTGGTTGTCACAGGTGTTATGCCCAAGGGTCAGCAGTGGCTCCCACTGGATGGGAAACATCCGGAGGTTGCCTGGCACCGGCCTCACCTCCTCGTGGTTCTTCTTGAGGCACATCAGCTCCTCCTTCAAGGACTCCACCTGCATCTCCAGGTCAGCCTTGCACAGGGTCAGTTCATCCAGGGTTCTGCGCAGGCTGTTGGTGTCAGCCTCCACCAGCTGCCGCATGCCCAGCTCCGTCTCATACCTGCACACACGAAACCCTGCCGAGTCTGTGGCAGAGCAGCCATGCCCAGGCCAGGACCCCTGCTCTTCTGTCCAGCTGCTGCAGCTGATTCGGGGTTAGTAGCAGAGTGGTCCTTTCCCTTGACCCGGAGGTGGTCCAGAGTCAGTGCCGCATTGCCCACTTATGGCTTCATCTGGCCTTACTCCCACCTCCCCTGCTCCCAGAGGCGGGTGGGGACAGAAGCAAGGGAGCAGCCCCGAAACCTCCCCTCATCAGGCCACTCACTTGGTTCGGAAGTCATCAGCCGCCAGCTTGGCGTTGTCAATTTGCAGGACCAGCCTGGAGTTCTCAGCCTTAGTCAGCAGGATCTGGGGAACAGGGGGCTTCCCATGAGCTAGAGAAAGCCCCAGGGGAGAGAGGAGAGCCCAGCTCACAGATTCCATGCTCCTAAGTACTACCAGCACCTTTGGCATGTCCAGCTCTGAGCCCGGAGCCCCGGTGTGGCGGGAGCATCAGTCCCAGGAAGGGCAACAGAGGAACGTCAGTGACCATCAGTCCTGATGTCTGCAGCCCCCAGAGTGGCGCAGTGGGATTCACCAGGGAGAGTGGAGAGAACCAGGCCAACGTGGATTCAGGTTCTGCATCCAACACTGATAAGCTGTGTGATCTTAGGCAAGTTGCTGAACCTCCCTAAAATTCAACTTCTGAATCTGTTAGATGGGCCCAGCGATATCCATGTCTCCCAGATGAGGAGTAAACAAGCCAAAGGATAGGAAGGCCTCAGGCACAGTGCTTGTCTCCAGTAGGGACTTGGTGCCATGTGCGTGATTGCCCTTCCTACAGCTGAGAAGGGTGGGGAGGAATGGCTGATAATAGCTCACAATCAGCAGAGAGGTCTGGGTCCCCAGGAAACCAAGACCCTAGAGAGAAAACCTTACCCTCATAGGAGAGAGAATCCCTTAAGAGCTACAGTCCCATCTGGAGTGGGATGAGACAGACCCCTCCCAGGGTTTGGGCTGCTGGGCTGCAGAGGGGCCAGGTCCCCATTACCTTCTGCTGGAGCTCCTCAATGGTCTTGAAGTAGGACTGGTAGTCCGGGCAGATGTACGGGATCTGAGCCTCGTACCACTCCCGGATGCGGCTCTCCAGCTCCGCGTTGTCCCGCTCCAGCTGCCGCACCTTCTCCAGGTAGTTGGCCAGGCGGTCGTTCAGGAACTGCATGGTCTCCTTCTCATTGCCATTGAAGGAGCCCTCGCAGAACCAGCCCCCGCTCCCAGCAAAGCCAGAGGAGTGGTACCCAGAGGACAGATAGGAACCCGGCAAGCAGCTCCCAAAGCCAGAGAGGCCCAGCCTGATGGAAGAGGCTGACCCCGAGACACCAGCCAGACCGGGGACCCTGCAGGAGCCCACAGAGCGGACAGAGGACACCCGAGAGATGCCGCCTGCTGTGCCACAGAGACCCCTGACAGACCCAGAGGAGAAGATCGGGGAGCAGAGCTGGGTGGCCATGATGCTAGCAGAGGAAGTTGACAGCTTAGCCGAGAGCTCAGGTTCTGGATTCTCATGGCCTCTCTGGGGCGTTTATATACACTCTCCGTGGGGTGTTGGCATGTTACTCTTGGGAAAGCCTATTCCTAATCCGGGATGCTAATGTCATTAGAATGTGATTTTTGTTACCTATCCAGAATCCCTTGCCTTATTAAAAAAAAAATGTGGAATTTAGTTTGCTAACTCAGGACTCTCAGCTGTTGTCATTTCCTAGCCAAATATGAATTTTATTGCCTCTTCAAAGTCTTTGCACCACATCCCATAAATTGGGAGTGGCCTCACGAATGACACTTGGTACCTGCCCTCTCTCTGTGCCTTCCCCTGAGGAGCCTGGTCTGCCCATTTGTCACCTCTGTCCATTACCCCCACCTCTCCTAGCTGCTCACCTCTGCCTGGGCCGCTGGGATGGTGAGAAGGCAGCAAAGGAAGTAAAATTCATGGAACATCTCTCATGTGCCAAGCTCCTCATTACTTCATGTGCACCTCACCACAACCCTGGGAGGGGGCCAATATTGAGGAAACTGAGGCTCAGAATGTTGGTTTTGTTTTTTTTTAATTAAAAAAATCTTGCTCAAGATGAACAGGCAATGAGAACAGAGCTTGGATCTGAAACCAGGGCTCTCAGACCCCAAGTCCCATGCCCTCGTCCCACTGCTTCCCCCACACAACCAAGGTCAAGCGCAGGCACCCAGAACATAGGGATAGGAAACCTAGGTTCAAATCCTGGCTCGGCTGTTGATCTACCCTGCAATGCTGAGCACTTCCCTCCCTCCCTGGCATCCTCAGTGTCCTCATCGGGACTGTACAGATCGTGAGCCTGCCCCGTCTGCTTCACACAGATACAAGGAGTGTCAAACAAGGACAGAAGTAAAAGTGGTTTGAAAACCAACACACGTTTTGGTTAGGCTATGAGGATTGTCTCTGATGGTGGTTTGTGGCTGTGGCAAGCAAAAGATCACGGCTGTGAGTTCTCAAGTGGCGCTGCTTTAGAGGACAGTTTCTTTTGTGGCCCCCCAGTTCCCCGAACCTAGGAGGGTAGAATCAGGACCCTGGACAGCCCACTCCAACCTCACTGGTGCCTGAACAGGTTTACAGAGGTGCTCAATGCAGACAATTTGGACAGGGAAGGAATAAGAGGAATAGATGACACACTGCCAGAGAGTTAAGCAAGCCGGGAGGAGAGCCTGAGAATTACAGACAAAAGGTAAATTCGGTCTTCCGCCCTCAAAGTGGGCTTTCCCAAGGCTTGAGCAGCCTGCTCCCTCTTCTCCCACACAAACACACAGGCAAGGCGGGCGTTTATAGATGCAGTTACATGCTTCTGAAGTTGTAATTTACCGACTTCTTAAAACACTTTATGAGCTTCTCTCTGAAATTACTCAGGAGGGTTGGCTGTGGTGCACATGCCTCGCCTAGTCCAATGGACACCTCAACAGGATGCCCAAGAGCCACCTAATGGGCTCCCAGGGGTGCATGTGCTGCGTGGCCCCTCCAGCAGGGGCCTCAGGCCTCCAGAGCTTGGCTGCCTCCGCAATGTTTCCTTACGGCTGCCCACCTTGCCCTCCTTGCAGGGCCGAGGGGCTTCCCAGCCTTAGCACTGCGGACCTCGTAAACCACATTATTGCTTGTCGTGGAGGCTTCAGGGTGAAGGGTTAGCGGCATCCTGGATTCTATCGCCGGATGCCAGAAGCAACCCCCTCCCCTAGTTGTGACAACCGAAAAATGTCTCCAGACACTGCCATATATCCCCTGGGTGGCAAAACCGCCCCAAGTTGAGACCCACTGGACTGTCAGGACAGGGACTGGGGCTCTGACCAGACCTCCTGTAAGTGACTCCTTTGTTTTCTAAGACAACTAGTGTGGCACCTGGCTATCTCTGCAGGGCCCATTCAGGCAAGTTCTGAGCACACCATATCCCGACCCACCTCATTTGTGACCCAGCACACTCGTCCTGAGGGCAGCCCCTTCCCCGCTCCTGACGTGGCTCTTCTCTGTTTGGGTTCTCTAAGCAGCTGGACTTCTGAAGTTAATGTTTCCCATTTTTTTTAATCCCTCCTCTGTACAATCCATATTTGAAGCTGATTCTAGGTTTTTCTCAGGGCAACTGAATGAGCAGGTGTCTGCTACCCCAGCTGTGTTCCCATCACTCAGCCCGGGCATCAGGAGGCCACCACAGGCCAGAGTCCAGGCAGGTGTCTCCAGGGCTGTAAGGAGAGGCACATACGTCGCCCGGAGCTGGTGACAAGCTGGCCAGAGAAGGTCTTTCAGTCGCCCTTGGTTCCCTTTCCCATGGGGTAGGCTACAAGGCCACTTCCTGGAAGGAAGTGCAGAGGGGGCCTCAGGGGAAGAAGTCCTCTGCCCTCTTCTGCCTCCGGAGCCTGGACCATCACTGGATGGAGCAAGGCCCAAGTGGAACAAAGGTTCTACCTGGATCAGAGGATTGAAGCTGGGACTCAAAGGGCTGCTCACCTCCCAGGCAGCTCAGCCCACCCAACCCCACCTCCCTTGGGTGTTCAGCCCTGGAGAAAATCCTCCTGTTCAGTATTAAGTCCGTTGGGGGGGGGGCCATTCACCAGATTTTATTTCAAAATAGGGTTCTGTTCCGAGACCCTTCTTTCTAACGTGGGTCAAAAATACACTGCCCTAAACTCTCTGTTTGAGCCCCATCCACTCTGGGCTCCGGACCCCTGATCTGAACAGGAAGGGCCCTTCCATCTCAGACAGCATAGGACGGGGGGCCCAGGCCATCGCCCACAGCCACCGTCCCTTCTGTGTCACTGACCACGGAACAAAGAGGAGTTACGGAGGCTCAGCCCGTGGCACAGTTGGGTTTTCTTTTATACGGAAACCCTCAGGGACCTCTGTCTCCCTTTGCCTCCAGGTCTACTGTATGGCCGTTCGTGTAACTGACACCATCTTGGAAACTTACAGTTTCTCCTATCTTCCTGCTGATCCTACCCAGGACTGTACTGTGCAGTGAATCCCTTCTCTGTTGTCAAGGGCTTTGTAGTTAATATTGTTTAATAATCATTAGGACCAGGCGCCCTCTATGCTCTGTTGGTCCCCAAACAATGATGAAAACCTTTGCCAACATCTTCCCAGAGCCTATGAGACTAGTTATCCATTCATAAATCTTGACTTAGGAATGTCCACTCCGTCTCTGGGCACCTACTCGCATACACTAAGTTAACTGTAAAACTGTCCCAGTGGCCCCTCCGTGGTGCAGAGTGCAAATGGGATCCGTCCACCTGATCCCACCCTATGCATAAGTCGCCCTGTAATACACAGATCCATTGATCACATGGAGCTGCCTGCCTCATTTTTCGGTCTCAAGATGCCTTCTCAGTTCAGCAGGCACTTCTCCTTCCCACCATCCTCCAGCACCTGCACACCAGGAGGACATGATGGCATGACTTCCTCCTGGCCTCCCTTCATAGGCAAGGCAACATCAACCCACCTCCCAAGGCTGGTCCTCAGAAGGGCCCATTCGGAGGTGCAGTGTCACCAGGATGGCAAACAGGCCTCCCAGCACATCCCAGCTGAAATGACATATCTGGCCCACTGAGCCAGCAGAGACTTTGCAGAAGAAGGGCTTAGAGAAGTGTCTGGCTGGACAGCAGGGGCCCTGGGCCTGGACTCAGCCAGACCTTGGTTCAAGCCACTTAATTCTTTGGGCCTCAGTTTTCCCAAAAGGTGAGTAGAGCTCTTAATGCCACATTCCCAGGACTGTGACAACTAAATTGAAACCTGCTTGATAAATAGGAACGCACATCACTAATTTAGGAGATCAAAAGTCTTCTTCCAGCCCGTGTCGTCTGAGCCCCAGTTGAACACTGTTTCCAGGGTACAAACGGCTTGCCCTGGTTTCATGGGATGCTGAATCAGAGGCCTGACCCAGCTGTGTGGGGAAAGGCGGCTCCTGAGACTGTGTCCAGGGCTGCAGGGGCCCCCTCGGCTGGGACTTTCTGGCCTCTGACCTTTACTCTAGAAGATCCCCGAAGCCCCCGACTCCACCTGCCACAGAACAGGGGCCGGCTTTGGGACTACAGAGTGGATAGGATGCTCTCTGACCACAGTAACCCCAGCTAGGGGGTGAGGGAGGAGGAGGGACACTGCTGCAGGGGCAGAAAACACCCCAGCTTCCCCCAAGCCCATCTTGGAAGGCCACCATGTTCAAAACCAATCACCGAATCTGTGGTTCCTTTTTAGGTGAAAAATGGCCTTCACCCTCAAATGAGCATCCACCTGAAGGCCAAGCTTCCTTGTGGGCAGAGACCCAAGAAACCAAGCCTGAGTCTCCTCTCCCCATCTCTGAGCTGTCCCTTCAAGGCAGAAGGCACCAGGCACAGCCTGTCACAGTGTGCCCAAGGCAGAAATGAGTTCTCCAAGCACGGCCCCTCTTCCCCTGCTCCTCTGGGTTGTGGTCAGAATGTGCCAGCCACCATCACCACCACAACCACTGTGTCCCGATGGCATTGGAGAAACCAGACAGCGGACCACGGGGCAGCCTGGCCACCCAGTGATCATCTCTCAGAGTGTCCTGCTGTCTTAGGCTTTAACTTCCTCATCGTCTCCTGTTCCATCTTTGGTATCCAACCCCACAAGTCCTGCAGAATTTCCCAGCACAGCAGGCATCTAAGAAATGCTGGTTCTGTGTCTTAACCTCTGTAGACGCCTCCCCAGAGCCCACCCACCCACAGGGACCCACACCAGTCTCATTCCTCTCAACACAAGTACCAAAGAATTTGTTCTCTTGTACCAAAGAATTTGTTCAAGCAACAGAGGACTCAGGACTCCTGGCCCCTCCCTGAAAAACAGGGTTACTGTATACTCTGTGTCAAATAACCACATCAAACTCTCCTGCCAAATCTCCTGCCAGCTGATGTTAGATTCGAGTACAGACAGGCAGTAACAGGTACACAGAGTTAAAGAAAGCATTATGGGAGGGGAAAAAAAGTTCAATTAAGACATTTCAAGCCACTGATCTCATTGGTCCAAGGAATCAGAGAAAGGTCACGCTTGTTCGGTTTTGATGGTGGAAGACTCGGGGCTGTTTGCAAACCTGCTAAGGGTAAGGTTGCCCAATGGAGCAAAGAAAAATACAAGCAACGTGTGGGACATACTTATACTAAAAACTTATTCATGGTGTCCGCAATTGCAATTTAACGAGGCGTCCTGCATTTTCTCTGGTAATCCTCGGTAAGGAAGCATCACTGGTTGAGAACCTTGGCCAAACAGGTGCAGCTCTTCCTTCCCTCCTTCCCCTGTGATTTGTCACCATGACTGGAGGGTCTCAGGAGCAGATGTATCGTGACTTTCTGCCTTTTGTACCCCAATCTCAGTGACTGCCGTTTTTACCCTCCCAGGCCCAGCAAGCAGAACTCAGAAGAAGGGCGCTAATTTGTCCCTTCTCTTTCCTGTACACCTCGGTGACATTCCACCCTGATGGCAGCTGCTGGGTGACTCAGATCTTCCTGGCAAGATTTGGCAAGTCCCTCTGGGCTCCGTTTCCCACGCCCCCCGCCTGTGCCCCAAACTTCCACCTCCCCCTGCTCTCACTAGGCCTCACCAGACTTGAGACAGGTTGAGTGCACACTGAGGGCTTTTCTGCTCTCTGGCTGCCCCTGTGCAGGGCCCAGAGCCTGTGCTCGGGGCCGCAGGAGAGCAGGCAAGCTGGCCACGGCTCTTGGCTCCTCCTGAGAGTCTAAGGGATCAGCAAGGCTCCTGGGCACCCAGCTTCCCAACATCCTGCTCTGTGGATGGTCCTGAATCCCTACTGGGCCAGGACCTGACTGTGGTTAGGCTTCAGAACTCCCCCTTTCCTAGGCCCAGAATCACCCGGGAACTCTCATCTCTTCCCGAATACAAAGGTCCTTTCTCCTGCCTTGGGGTCTGATTTTGGCCATAGTCTGGGGCTCCAGGGTTTGGCTCCAAACTGCTCTTGCCACAGGGGAGGCCCAGAGACCACCCTGACCCCAATCTTAAGCCATACCTCTTGGGTTCTCTGCCTCTCAAGTCCCAGGGCCCACTTCCATCTCGCCAATGGGTCAGCTCCTCCTGCTCCGGCTGACCACTCCGGTCTGGAAGAGTTCAGGGCCTCCTGCTCAGATCCACTCAGCCCCTGACTCCCCCCACCCAGCTTTTATGGAGAATTCCAGAGCTGTCACTGCTCTCCTTGATGTGCTTAGAGAACCTGTGATTTGTGGGAGACGCACAGCCAGGTGCCTGAGGAGAAGACGCTGGTGCCTCAGTCTCCCGCGTCCCCTTGATTCAGGTACCACTTAACCGGACCACAAAGCGAATTCCCCGAACACCCTGTTTGATTGGATTCTGCCGTCTGCATTTTCAGGGCCTGGTGTGCAGTCGGCCTCACTATCATCCTGCTAACGACAGTGTGTCTGCAAACCAGACTGTGGGCTCCAGGCAGTAATTAACTGTGCTTTATACTGGGGATTCTACTTTCAAATTCATCTGAGATCCCTGGATGAAAGAAGCCACAGGGTTATTATGACTGTTCATAAAAATGGACCAGAAGAGTGAAGACTGGCTCTTTGCCAGCTCTCCCAAATCCCCAGCCCCGCCAGCAGGCGCCCACCCACATGGTCCCTCCCAAACACTGCAGGAAGATGGAGAGTCTGACGTGTGCCCAGCTCTCTGAAAGCCCTCAGATACGCTGCTCAAAGGGATACAACCTGCACACCCTGCTGCGCTCCAGCCTCCAAGAGTCCTGGGAAAACCATCCAACAGGGGGCAGGTCCCAGCAGCCCCGAGAGGCACCGACCCAGGCAGGAAGAAGGGCCCAGCCGCTGACATGGGGTCTGGAACAATGCGTCATCACACCCCATCGACCACCACAGCCCTCCCATGACATCTCTTCCTCCTCTCCCCTCAAGCGAGATCCCCCCTACCAGGAAGCCCCAGGCACCCTCATCTCATATTCTGGGTCTTCTGTGGCCCCTCAAGGCTGCCACTCAAAACAGAGGGAGAACAGGCAACCAAGGGTCTCAGGGCCACAGCTCCACGTCAGCTGTGCCCTGCTCACGCACTGCCCAGCTGCCCCACTCGAGTCTGGGGACTGAACAGAGCCTCATGCTGGGGCCAGGCCCAGGTAGGACCGGGTCTAGTGCCCTGTCCCTCCACTCTGTGTCGTAGCAGGTGGCCAAAGAGGCACTTGCTTTCTGGAGTGAGCCTGCCCCCTGCAGGGCCCAGGCAGGACACGCAACCCCATAAGGGAGGGCAGAGGTACACTGGTCAATACACCCAGGGTGGAGCTTTGGAGAGAGGGAGGCACCTTTTGCTGGGGGTTGAGGGAGAGGGTGACTGAAGCAGCTGGGAGTCACAGGGCTGCACAGCAATTAGCCATCTTTGTGCAGCACCTGCCATGGGGAGGCGCTTCCCTCCACAGCTCTGAGGCACTGAGACGCCACGGGCACATTCCACAGTGATGTCTTTGTCCCCTAAGCCTTGGGCTTAGACGAGAGCCTCACTTCTGCCCCAGATTCCAGAGCTGAACGATTTGCTTTGCTCAGTCTTCAAAAGCACATGGCTCCCAGCTCTCCTGCTGGGCGGGTCTCTTTACCAGTCTGAGCCTCAGTCTTCAGATATGTCAAATGGGCCCAACAGTGCCGACTTGGGGTTTTTGTAAAGATGAAATCAAACAAAGGATGAGAAGGCACTCTGTAAAGGGCAGTGTGCTAGACATGTGTTACTGTCCCCTTTATTCGCATCCCCTCTGTTTTGGCATCTCTTGCATTAACTTGTGTTCGCTTGCGGTCATGGACATCGAGGTTAGTCAGGCACCACGGACAGGGCTGTTCCCCGCAGCCTCAGCCCTGGGAAGCTGGGCTGTGAGCCTGGGGTGGGCATGGGCACCTGGCCAAGCCCGGGAGGGGCAGTATTCACCCAGCAGGCCTGATGAAGCTGCCCTCCCTCCAATGGACACCCCATGCAGGACTGAGGGGCTGAAATTGGTCCTGGTTAGAAAGGGAGAACTGCCTTCCCCCACCCCCGCCTATCCCGCTAACCTCTCCCACATCTCAGACCAAAGCCCTGGGACGACCACCCCTGTCCAGCTCAGGAAGGCTCCTGGGTCCGCTTTGATAGAAATACCCCCACCTGGGCTCCCCTCTCAGTTTCCCTGGGATTCCTCATAGGGCCACAGAGGTCCTTGGATGGAGCCCAGCTTCTCAGTAACCCCTTCTGGAGTCTGGGTGAAAGGGTCCCAGGCCAGAGTCCCTACTTGGCCCAAGGTCCAGCCCATTTCATTGCTCCATATGGACCATGAACCCCACACCCCACCCAGAACCCCTAACACTGGCTCAGAAAGGGAGAGGACTACCTCCTCCTGACCTTCGGCCTGGGTCTCAGGGAGAGGGGCTGCTCCAGGCCCAGCAAGCCTGGGACACAGACCCCAGGGGGCCTGGCACTGGCTGTGGGGCTCAGCCTTGAGGGCCTCCCCTGGGACAGTCTGGGAGAGGCCCTTTTTCCTCACGCCTGCAGAACAGTGTGCTTAGCTACCTCTTTCATTGCCCAGAGCTTGTCTTTACTCATCTCTCATTCCTCCATCCAACACATTTACTGAGCTCCAACAGCATCTTAGTCATGAGGATGGGGATCCCGACAAAACCATCCCTGCCCTGAAGGAAACAGAAAAACAAAGCTTTGTTTACTGAGCACTTGCTGTGCGCCAGGACTGTTCTAAGCACCTGACTTTAATAACCTTCAAGGGAGCTGGTACTTAGCAGGTAGGAAAGTGAGCGCACAGGGTTAAGACGCTTGGGCAGGGCTACAAATGTAGCAAGTGGCAGAGCCGCGACACACACCAGGGCAGCGGGACTCCAGACCCTGTGGCCTTCGAGCCTGGCTCTCCAGTAATTGCTGTGATGGCCATCAGTACAGGGCTTTGGGGACAGATGGGGGATGCTGGGAGTGGCGGGGGAAGAGCAGAGATCCGTGGCAGAAGGTGAGCCCTGCGCTGAGCTTTGAAGACTGATTATTGAAGGCTGAGGGCGTCTCTTCCCACCTCCTGGCAGTCCGTGAACTCCCTAAAGACAGAGGCTGCCTTTTGTATGTCTCTCTCTCTCTCCAGGATCCGATACAGTGCCCAGTACGTGGTACCCTCAATAAATAGCTGCTGACAAAACAGATGAATGAAAAAAGCTAACCGGGTTTGGGGAGTGGAGGCCATATCCTGTTTTCTCTTTACTCTCTGAGCTCCCAGCACAGTTCTGGGCACATGGACAAGAACTGGGTCACACCTTGTTCTGTCATGGAGTGGGATCTGGAATGAGTGGAGAGTGACATCTTTCCCCTGGCTAAGCAGCTGGGAGGGTCAGGTCTGAGTGCCCCTGTGGGACTAAGCCCACTGCCTGGAGCCCACAGACAGTCTTAGGGTGGAGGAGGAGGAGGTGGATGATGAATGAGGGCAGTGACTGTGCAAGGGGGCTGGAGAGGGAGGGAGGGAAAATGAGGAGGGGGCAATGAAAGGGGCAGCTGGCAAAAGTGGCGGGGCCTCCCTACCCCCAGTCCAAAACTCCATGATGAAACTTAAATGGCAGATTCCCTAGTTTGTTCATTCATCTTTCCCCTTAATAAGTGTCAGCTGAGCCCTGGCAGTCAGCTAGATAGAGCCCTGCCCTTTTGGCGCACATGGTTAGTGCTCAACGCCAGGGCTGGCAGGCGTGGACGCGCAAACACTTGAGTGCACCCCACTCTCTCCAGGCGCCCCAGAAGAGAGGGTGTCCATCTCAGTCGGAATGTTGACTAAAGACCTGGTGGTCTCCAATAAAACAAAGAGAATGAGGGGAGGAAGTTCAGATCAAACTGTCACTCATTGAGCGAGGGCTCCAGGCATCCAGCCACATGGCTGGGTCCCTAAGAGCAGTTTGCAGGGGCAGGACCTCAGGGTGGGCTGGGGAAGGCTGGTGCAGGATTTAGGGCTGGAGAGAGGCAGGCAGAGGCCAGGCTCCAGTGGCCTCTCGGTGGTGAGGAGTCTGGGCTTTCCTCAGTGGCCGGCGGGGGGCTATTGCATTGCGGCATCTCTAAGCCAGGAAGACTTTCTGTATCTAGCAATCTGCTGGCGGGTGGAGCATGGGTAAAGGGGAAGCTCCAGCTGGAGGCAGGGAGGCCAAGGAGGCCATGGCAACACACCCAGCAAGTTAAGATGGGCAGGTGATGAGGATATTTATAACTAAAACAGCCTCCGCGGGTGGACCTGTAAGGGGGTGAGGGAGAGAGGAAGCGGAGAGGACTTCTGCGCTCCTGACTTGATTTCCAACTCCTCTGAGATGGAAGACTAGGAAGGCACAGATCTGGGAGAAGGAGGGGTGCTCCTTCAGATCTGAGGAGGCGATGGCCAGCTCATCTGGGCACGTGAGACTGGAACCGAGGAGAGGGGCCTCACTGGAGAGTTATCAGAGCATACTGGTCATTGTGACTATGGACAGGTCCCGGTTGGCCCAAGGCGGTGGGAGGTGAAGAGGAAAAAGAGAGGGGTGTCTAGGCGGGGACCCAGGGGACCCGTCACCATGAGGAGTAAGCAGAGCAAGAGGAGACTGCGTGTCTGAGCTGGGACATCCAGAGCAGCAGGGGTACGGGGGTGCAGAGGGGAGGCGGGGAGGAAGGCCAGCACTGGTCACTGAGTGGCTTGGAATGGCAATGAATTGAAGGGTGGACAGACTGCAGGTCTGGGTGCCCACCATCTGGGAAGGAAGCTCTCTCTGCAGGAAGCGGGGAGGCAGCTGGTTGGCGCCAGAATAAATGGCCTAGGCCTCCTTCTCCTCAAATCAGCCATGTACCCTCCCCTTGCATCCTGCCCCAAGCCCTCTGTACCTTGTTCCCACATCGCCCCGTCACCTGACTCTACCAGAGCCCTGTTGCTGCCTTATTACTGAAGGTCCTTTAGGGTATTGAGCTGGCCGTAGTGCCCCAACATCTCTGATTCGTTCTATTAGTCCGTGTTTGCTGGGGTCCTCACCCATGAGCCACCTGTGTCTTCTGTGTTTGTCATTATTGCATCTTGTGTCCTTCCCAGCTGGGAGCTCTCTGGGCTCAGGGTGAGACGCTCAGCCCAACCGCACCCCCTGGCCTATGGCCACCAGTCAGGGCCTCGGCTGATGCCACCCTTAGAAACCAGGCCAGAGTCAAAACTACGTTTGCAAAAAGACAGGAAACTTTATTGAATTTTCTTTTTAGTAGAGAAGCTGAGGACTCAGAGGAGCTAGGTCAGGGAGAAGAGAAAGCAGACTCCGGGGAGATAGACAGGGCGTGCAGGCCCTCGGGAGAGTGGGGTCCAGACGGGGTGCTGGGGAACAGAGTGCCTGACCCTCGGGTCCTGCAGTCCCCCCCCTCTCTCCTGCAGGGAACCGCCGGCTCTCTGCTCCTCTGGATGAGGGAGGGGCCGCCGGGCAGATTTAAGGCCTACTACTCTCTGCGGCGAGAGATGGTGGTGGTGCTGCTGGTGGTGCTTCCTGGGAAACAGAGGATGCAAGAGACATTCAGGCTGGAGAAGACCCATCTCAGGCCAGGTCAAGCCCCACCCAGTAGGGCCCCAAACCCCTAACTGGTCAGGTGAGAGGGTGAGTTGATGGAGACTCTATGCTATTGTCTGGGAGACTCTCTCCATGACAGCCCAGGGGTCTGTGAGGCAGAGCCACCTATTTTGAAAGGAAAACAGAGGAGCAGATGACAGCTTCTGCCCCAGCCCCTCCCTCCCTCCACTGGGGAGCCCAGCACTGCCGCCCTGCCCACCCCCAGGGCAGTGAACAGGAGCCTGACTGCCTCTCCCACCCAGGTTATTTCCTTACCTCCTGTGGCGACGCCGGTCAACCTGCACAGATGAGAGACAGCCGTGAACGGAAAGCAACCCAGGATGGCGGCCTCCCTGCCCTCAGAGGGAGCGACTCAGAGCATCCCCGAAGCCCCTGAGTTGGGCTCTTTTCCCAGATGTGCCCCCAGCCCATAGGGCAGCAGCATCAGGGGCCTGCCAGGCCTGTCTGTCTTTCTGTCTGTCTGTGAAGCCTCAGGAGGAGATATTACTGGGCATTTGCTGGAAACTTTGTCCTCCCTCTGGCTCACTCAACCCCCTGCCCTCCCCTGAGCCCACAAGGATGGCCCTGTCCCTGCAAATAGTCTGAAGGCAGTTAAATCTCTATTTTAATAGCTGTGTTGGGCTGACCGTTTCCAATATGAGATATTTTGTCCATGGTCCCCAGTCCTGCCAGTCTAATCCAGAGGCCCGGATCACAGAGTGAAAGGAAAGGCTAGTCAGATGCTAAATGGCAAGGAGGGAGCTCTGGTCCTGGATCTTGGCCCAGCCTGTTTCAGCTCAGACAGGTGCCTTCCCTTCCCAGACCTCAGAGCCAGATCCCTAAGGCTCCGCCTCCTCCCACAGCCCAGGGTCCCACAGGTACCTTCCCACGGGACCTACTTGGAGTCCTGGCCCTCCAGCAGGCTGCGGTAGGTAGCGATCTCCTGCTCCAGGCGCGTCTTGATGTCCAGCAGCACCTTGTACTCCTGGTTCTGGCACTCCATCTCACTGCGGAGCTCGCTCAGCTGGGCCTCGATGCTGCTGATGAGGCCCTGGATCTGCTGCAGCTGCAGGGCGTAGCGGCACTCCGTCTCCGCCAGTGAGCTCTCCAGCCCGGCTTTCTGGGGGGCAGCAGAGGAGAAGGTATGAGGGAAGCCGGGCCAGGGGGAGGCCTGGCAGTTGTGGCCGTTGGGCAGGGGGCAGCAGGTGTACCATGCTGAGCTGCGACTGCAGCTCGATCTCCAGGCCCTGGAGCGTACGCCTGAGCTCCGTGATCTCTGTCTTGCTGGTCTGGATCATGGCGGTGCTGGAAGACACCTCCTTGTTCAGCTCTGCACTCTGGAATTCAAGCAGGACGGAGGTGATGGAGGAGCCCAGCCGGAAGGCCCTGGCAGCCCCTGGCTCCGCGGGCTGAGAGGGCCAGTTACCTTGCTCTGGAACCACTCCTCTGCGTCCCGGCGGTTCTTCTCCGCCATGGCCTCGTACTGCTCCCTCATCTCCGCCAGCACGCGGGTCAGGTCAATGCCCGGGGTGGCGTCCATCTCCACGTTGACCTGGCCGACCACCTGGTTGCCTAACTCCTTCATCTCCTGTGGGGATGGGAAGGGAAGATGCATGAAGCTACTTATCCTGCCTCTCCCCGGCTCTGAATGCTACTGGGGTGTTCTAGAAAGTGCTCCCAGGTCCCATGATGGAAGGCTGAGTCTGGCTGCAGCCGAGGGCTCCCAGTTCTCACTGAGGGTGATTCAGCCACAGCGAGCTCAGCCCCTCTCCCCGCCTCACCTCCTCGTGGTTCTTTTTCAGGTAGGCCAGCTCCTCATTCAGGCTCTCGATCTGCATCTCCAGGTCGGTCTTGGTCAAGGTCAGCTCATCCAGCACCCTGCGCAGGCCGTTGATGTCGGCCTCCACACTCTGGCGCAGGGCCAGCTCATTCTCGTACCTAAAGGATTTTTTTCATAGAAAAAATGACACAGAAATGGTGTTAGACACTCCCCCATCCCTACAGTGGACTCTGCTACTACCCCAAGACTTCACTCCTGGGATGCTCCAATTACACGGTTCAGAAGCGCATCTGTCTCAGACAAGAACTGTTGGGGCAGGGGAACGAGGGGAACAAACTCACTTGAGCCTGAAGTCATCAGCTGCCAGCCTGGCATTGTCAATCTCCAGAATGACCCGGTTGTTGTCAATGGTGGCCGCCAGGATCTGCAAAATACGGAAGGTAACCACTGGAGGGTCCGAGAGCTTGGGGAGGAGGACTCAGAAAACACAGGCAGGGCGGGTGGCTGCCAGGCTCTGCCTCTTCACTGCTCCTGCGACCTAACAAGGCACATCCGTCTGGGCCTCGGTTCCTCTTCTGGAAAGTGAGAGAGGGTTCTGGGCCCTCCAGTTTGTTCTGTCGCTCTAGCATTCTAGGTCGTGGTGGGTAAGACCTGGATGTGCATTTCAAGGGAGCGACCCCACCGAGAACATCTGTAGTCAGTCACGTCTCTGCAGCCCGCTCAAGCATTCAGGCTGCTGTCTTGAGAGCCTTCCCCTTAAGATCAGAAGAGAATCAGCCTGGTTCCACACAGTTCATAATAACCTCACTGGAGCTGGCCTCCTGGCTGAGTAGAGGGGAATTCCAGCAAACAGTCCCATCTATTTGAGTTTCTTGTCTAAACTTCTGTGTTCCAAAGCTCTTCAAATCCACCCCACATAGCTGGGACTCAGCCCAGGGAGGTGGATTTCTGTTCCAACAAGCTGACAGCACAGTGTGATGGACAGGCTTGATGGAGAAAATCTCGGCTTAGCCTCCCCTAAGCCTCTGCCTGCATCTCCCCGACCTGGTCGTGGCTAATTGAGAGTTTAACGTGGGCACCTGCAAAAATAAGCTCTACCCCTAGACCAATGAATGAACAAGTATCCCTTTCTCTGTTGTTTGAGTCATTCTCAGTGGCTTTTAAAACTGTCACGGTTTCCAAATAACCCAGTGGGTTAGGATTACAGAGATCAAGTCACTGAAAACATAACTGTTTGGAAAGCAGTAAAAAATGTTTGCATGAGTAATCACAATAAAAAGAATAATGGGAGAAAATGCATTTGGGAAGACATAGTATGAGAAAGCCCAGCAGAAGCAGAGCTGTTTGGTAGGTAGTAAAAACTAGATTTTGCCCCACAGGAAAGGTAAGAATTCTGTCCATGCTGCATCCACTGGTCCCCAGGGATACTGGGTTTCCTGGACATCGTGGCTCTGCCCTGCGCAGAGGAACACTCCTTGGCCTGCAAAGGCTCACCTTTTCCCGGAGCTCTTCTATGGTCTTGAAGTAAGGGCTGTAGTCACGCTCTGGGCTGGCCGGGCTCTGCTTCAAGTGCCAGTCCCGGATCTTCACCTCCAGGTCGGTGTTGGCCTCCTCCAGGGCACGCACCTTGTCCAGGTAGGAGGCCAGGCGGTCGTTGAGGTTCTGCATGGTGATCTTCTCATTGCCGGAGAGGAGGCCGCCATCGCCACCACCAAAGTCACCAAAGCCACCGCCGAAACCCCCACCAAAGCCACCTCCAAGGCCACCTCCGAAGCCACCTCCATAGCTGCCTCCGAAGCCACCCCCAAAACCACTACCAGCCCCTCCACCAAAGCCACAGCTCACACCGCCCCCATAGCCTCCAGCTGATCCCCCAGAGACAAATCGGGTTGAGCAAGTAGAGATACTGCGGCCTCCTCCCAGCTGGCAGGAGCCACCCCCGAAGCCACCTCCGTAGCTGGCGGAGGAACTCTGCAGGCGACAGCTCATGGTGAGAGTGAGATGGAGAGAGCACAGGTGCAGTGGGAGCTTGGCCTGAGCTGTCCGAGGACTGTGGCTCTTGCCCAGAGTGGATGCCTTTTATGCACCTTCCAGGGGGTTGGACAGCCGCCCCATCTTCTCTCCTCCCTTCCCCACCCTCTGACTGGTGCCAGCTGCATGTGCGTTTCCCACAAGCCCAGTTACCTCGGCTCTCCAGGGTGGGTTGTGCCTTTGTCGGGGGCGGCCTTTTTTTTTTAATCCTCTACAAAACAGATGATTCAGAGGGAACAGTGCTCTACCTGAGCCTACCCTTTGACAACTGAATTCTCTTTCAGAACTCACTCCTACAGGCTCCCAGCCCCACCCAGTGTTAGACTGGGGACTGAGCCTCTGGGCAGGAAGGGTGCCTGCAAAGTGGCCCCACACCGTGCGAGGTCACCGTGGCCCTCTGCCTCCCTTCTTCCTGTTTCTAAAAGTTCTACCTGGAATGTTCTGCCTCCTTCTCAGCCTCTCATCTACTCCCAGCTCCTAGCCATTCTGACGACAAACTTGGCTCTGTCTTGTAGAATCCACAAGCTGGCAAGTGTTCAGGCTGAGAACAAAATGACTCCAAGACCGTCAGATAAAGTCACAGGGGCAAAGAACCTTCGGGATCATCCAACACAGCTGGGGAAACTGAGGCACCGAAAAAGCCCCGAGCCCTGCTCATTAGAATAGCTGATCTCCTCAGATCCCTCCCCACATGCAGGCCCTGAGCTAAGAAATTTATCATGATGCCTCATTTAATCTTTGCAGCAATTAAAACAAAAAACTCTGCAGCAGCCCATTGAGGTGGGTCCTCTACAATCATCATTTTGCACATGAGGAAAATGAGCCTTAAGAGCAGAGTCAGGACTGAAACCCCACCCCAGTCTGGTTCTGTCCGACCCTAAGGCTCACTCTTAGGTATATTTTTCTTACTGTGAAATGTACAAATCCTGGGTCCAGCTTGATGCATTTTTACCCTTGTACGAAGTTTTAAGCACATGTTCACTTGAGTAACCACCACTCAGAACCTTTCCAGCACCCCATAAAGCTCCTCATGTCTTTTCCCAGTCAATGCCCCCACCCCAGCCCACATTCCCCCTGCCCCTAACATAAGCACAATTCCATCTCTGTCACTGTAGCTCAATTTAGAGGTTCTCAGCCAGGGACTATTTTGCTCCCCAGGGGACATACATTTGACAATGTCTGGAGACATCCTGGTTGTCACAACAGGGGGATGCTACTGGTATCTGGAGGCTAGAGACCAGGAATGCTGCTGAGCATCCTACGTGCACGGAACAGCCCCTGCCACTACGAACTCTCCGGCCCAAAATGTCCTTAGTATCAAGGTTGAGAAGCCCTGATCAACCTATGTTTAATCACTCCGTTATAGCAGCTGCCCCAGGAAGGAAGTCTTGTAGTGCTGAATCAAGCTCTTTCTAGCCCCCCAGTCACATGACACCTGTCTCAGCTTGTTAGTGTTTGACCAAGAGGCCACACTGGAGGATGTGACCCTGGGCCTGGGGCCAGGGTCTCTGCCAAAGAAGCTGGGATATGACTAAAACTCAGGGACTGCTTAGTGAGCCTGTTGGGGGAGGCCTCACCACTCAGGCTGAAAGAAAGGGGCCTGGAGCTGGCCTCTCAGAGCCCAGGATAGCAGGACAGCTTCCAGGGCTGAGAATGGAGGATGCTGGACTCCGGCTTCCAGCCTCCATTCACCAAGGGGGCCAGGGTTACTGTGAATGGCCTCCAGGGAACAGCCTGCAGCCCCCGGCAGCCTGAAGGGCTGGATGTGATAGGCCGTGGGCTGGGGTGAGGTGGCACAGGCTTGAGGGTGTCCTGGAAACCCCTTCGCTGATTCAGCAAGACCAGAAAGGAGGGCTCTGAGTCAGGGCTTTCTTGGCCTTTGTTTTCTGTGGGGAGAGGAGTGGGCCCGCTGGGAGTCTCACCCAGTGGGTGTCAGCGTCAGGGAGGGAGCCGGGGCGGGCTGTGGGCACCCTGAGACCACAGTGAGGCCAGGGATTCAGGCTGACCCCTGACCCTGCCCGGCCCTCCCACCCCAAACTGATGGCTCAGCGCTCTCTCTCCAAAAAGAGGTGATTCAGCCCAAAGCAGGAGCTCCTGCGCTCTCCGTAGAGGATCAAAAGTGACAAGAAGGTGATTAATGGAACCTGCTAGGCCTGGAATGACAAGCCTCCTGGGGCTGAAGAGCAGGTTCGGCCAACGCCTCGGAGAGGAACAATACCACAGAGCCTCTCAATCCCCAGTGGTACAAACACAGCAGCCAGGACATGCCTGCCCTCCCCGCCCCTCCCCTCCCCTCCCCTCCCCAGCAGGGTATGTGATGCCTTGACACAGGAATGCCTTCCACTGACCCGCAGTGAACCCAGGGCACACAGGGCCGGGGGACACAGGCCAGCCCTCCTGGAGGATGCTGGGCAGAGACCCATCCCAACCTCTCCCAGGGACCCCATCTCGCCTCTCCCAACCCAGCTCCGAATGGGACAGCTCAGAGGGCTAGTGCTGAGGCCCTGCTCACATGTCTTAAGCTTCCTTCTTTGCTTTCTGGTAAAAATCACACCAAATTCAGTTCCCTCCCCTACGTTGTTTCCAGGTAAGGGGAGAGAACGCTACATTTATGAGTATCCCCAGCAAGTGAGGCTGTGCTGAACATGTTGCTCCTGAATCCACGCTGCAATGGCAGAGAGTTTTTACTAACCCCATGTATATATAATCCCAAGTTACAACCCCAGATGAGGATCAGGGGTGCCAAGTCACTAGTCCCAGGTCACCATGAAATCAGCGCACGATCGCTGAGGGTTCCATTCTGTTAAAAGACAACGATTACACTTGCTGCCATTGCTTGAACACTGTGCTAAACGCTCTACGTGCCTGACTTCGTTTGGTCCTTGAAATAACTCTACTATTTGTATCATACCCTTTTCTCAGATGAGGAAACTAAGGCCAGGAGAGGTTTGCATTGCCCAAACTTGATTATGTCAGAGCCAAGATTCAAACCTCTGGCTCTAGGTTCTGCCCCCTTCACTACTACATGGTAAATCCCTTCCAGGCTGGTGTCAGCGCCATCCCATCCAACCAAGGGTGTCTTCTGTTGCCATCCTCAGGCCCCCTGTCACCCAAGACCCAGCTGGTGGATGGTCTTGCATTGCACAGTGGTTAGGCCTATGCAGCTGGTGATGGCCTGACAGTCAGCCTGTCTGCTGTCTGTCCTGACATGAGCTCCAGACCTCGGGGACTGGCAGTGGTACTCACTCAACGCAGAATGTCCAAGCCTAAATTGTTTTTAGGACAACTTAGGAACTTTTCCATCCAACCTCTCCATTTCATGTGTAGGAAAACCAAGGCCCAGAAAGCCAAGATCCAGAGCAGTGGGAAGGAAAGAGAACTGTATGGATTTCTACCACTGATTCATCATGGGCCTTACATGGAAATGATTCTGTGTTTCCTTCAGCAATGTCTCCTCAGTCTCTGATTCTCAAAGATTTATCCAGAGTCACCAGATCACTCATGTGCCGAACTGAGGCCTAGGCCCCGTCCCCCAGCTCCTAACCCAGGGTTCCTTTCTTGGATCTCAGATCAGGTTCCTCCCTTCCTCTCTCCTTGGACCACAAGGGGTCCAGAGCCCAGGATGCCTGATAACCTCCCAAAAGGTCTTAAGGCTCCCCCACAGGGATGGGGACTCTTGTGAAAGGCAGACATACATATACTCATTTTCATATTCTTTTTCATTATAAGTTACTACAAGGTATTGAATATAGTTCCCTGTGCTATACAGAAGTTTGCTTTTTATGTATTTTATATGTAGTAGTTAATATTTGCAAATCTTGAACTCCCAATTTATCCCTTCCCACCCCCTTTTTCCCCCCAGTAACCATAAGTTTGTTTACTATGTCTGTGAGTCTCCTTCTGTTTTGTAGATAAGTTCATTAGTGTCTTCTTTTCTTTTTTTCCTCAAATCCCTTATACCACTAGGGCTCTCCGGAAACCCAGCGAGGTCAGCAAAGGCTTCGAATTCAGTGGACCTGAGTTTCAACCCTCCATCTCCCATAGACTGGCTGTATGACCTTGGGAAAGATGCTCAACCTCTCAGGGCCTCCTCGGTGGCCCCATCAGAAAAACAGGCATTAGATGAGTTAGTGTTTGAGAAGCACCTGACCCATGGGAGCGCCCAGCAGGCGGAAGGTTACTAGTCCTTCCCTGTTACAAATGAGGAAGTACAGGCTTATCATTGTTAGATGACCCGTCCGAGAATTCTTCTGGGCCTCCATCCTGTGCCAGCTCACTGCTTTGCCTCCATCTCTAGTTCCTGCAGCCAGCACGGCACCCACAGCCACTGGACAGGTGACAGTTGGTGGCATTCCTGTCTTATTTGCCCCAGTCAGTTTTACGTTCCCTAAAGACAGGGTCTTTGTCGAATATACCTCCAAACACTGCTTCTGGCAAAGGGGAGCTCTGGATAACGGCCTGAGAAGCTGTTTCAAAGATACATTGTCTGCTGGCTTTAGGTGAGAAGCAACGCCAAACAGGAATGGTAACCGATGGAGTCACCCAGCTCCAAACCTCACAGGAGAAGCTGCCGCCTCCTCATTCTCCCTCCCGCCCTCTGCCACCAGCTGCCCACAGAGGGACCACCGTGTGGGCACATGCCCAAGACACTAGTGAATTTCCAGAGTCGTGTCTAAGACAGGAAAGAGCAAAAGAGAAGAAAGTCCGTGCATTTGTACAACAAATATTTATCTAGCTCCCTCTCCGAGGACTCGGCAGTGCATGGGGTAGACCCAGCCCCTGCTGTCACAGAGCTCAGGGGCCAGGATCCCCTCTGAGGTCCCAGGATGCAGATCAGCTCATAGAGAACATCAAGATCATCTCATCCAAAAGGGAACTTCCCACGCTGTTGAGGGGAATGCAGTTTGGTGCAGCCACTATGGAAAACAGTATGGAGAGTCCTTAAATAACTAAAAATAGACTTACCCTATGATCCAGCAATCCCACTCCTGGGTGTATATCTGGAGGGAGTTCTAATTTGAAAAGATACATGCACCCCAATGTTCACAGCAGCACTATTGACAATAGCCAAGACATGGAAACAACCTAAATGTCCATTAACACATGACTGGATAAAGAAGTTGTGGAATATATATGTGACGGAATACTACTCAGCTGTAAAGAAAAAATAATGAAATAATGCCATCTGCAGCAACGTGGATGGACCTGGAGATTTTCATACTAACTGAAATAAGCCAGAAAGAGAAAGAAAAATACCATGTTATTACTTATATGTAGAATCTAAAAAACACACAGATTTTTTTACAAAACAGAAACAGACTCAGAGATATAGAAAACAAACTTATAGTTACCAGAGGAGAAAGGGGTTGGGAAGGGATAAATTGGGAGTTTGGAATTTGCAGAGACTACAATATATAAAATAGATAAAACAGATAAACAGCAAGGTCCTACTGTATAGCGTAGGGAAATACATTCAATACCTTGTAAAAGTCTATAATAAAAAAGAATATGAAAAAGAACATATGATTGAATCATTATACTGTACACCAGAAACTAACAAAACATTGTAACTCGATTATACTTCAATTAAAAAAAGTCATCTCATCCAGCCAGAATTTTCAATTTAAAGATGAGGTAACTGAGACTCAAAGAGGAGCAGGGACCAGTCAAAATCCTCGGGGAGAGAGTGGGGGGTATGCCCCACGCCTGCTCTGGGAAGCCTAGCCTGAATAGAGGACGCACCCAGGGCCCTAATCCCTTGTCCCAAAGCTGGCCTTTCTAAGGGGAGAAAAGAGGCCTGCTCCTTGCTTTCCAGATTGGCTGGAAACCTAGCCCCACCTCATTCCGGGGGCAGGCAGAAGGCGGGCCATCTCTGCGCAGAGACTATTTAAGGGCTCAGTCAGGCCTGAGCTATCTCTGGGCGTGGGCATCTCGCTCCAGGGTCAGGCAGGGGACAGGGCTTGGCAAGTTCCATGGGCCTCTGACAGCTGGTCCCGGAATCCCAGCAGAGCAAGAACTGGCGCTCCGGCGATGAGGGTGGAAGCAGCACCCTCTCTCCAGCAGCTCAGGGTCTGGCCCTGAGAGAAGTCTCCCTGGATGAGGGCTGAGCCCCCTTGCCCCTCTACACCTTTGCAGAGGCGATTGTTTTTGCAAAAAGGAAGAACAGCTAGCATTGGTGGCAGCTATTTAGAAGGTCTGAGACCTCCCGACAGAAGCCCAGAGGTCAGAGAGGCAGGAACAGCAGGCGATAGGATTGGAGAGTCCCCAGGAGCCTGACTGATTCCAGGATGTCGGGAATGTGGCACTTGGCACTCTGGGCTTGAACCACAGCGTGAGAGACCAAGGTTCCATGTGAGGACAATCTTTGTGACCGTAACAGCTGGGTGACACTTGAACAGGCTGCCCCTAGAGGTTAAGAAATGGGTTTCAGAGCAGCACACCCTGTAAGGAAGGCGTTGCCAGGTTCCGTCGCCCTCGTGGCATTGCGGGAAAAGCAAGCGTCTGGAATCAGAGAGACTGTGCCAGATCCCGTTTCACGATTTCCTAGCTGTGCCTTCATTCAAATGACTTAACTTCCCTGGGATTCAGTTTCCTCATCTGAAAACTGAAGTGCTAAAGTCTGACCACGACTTCAAAAGCTGTCGAGAGAGTAAATGAGATGCCGTCCACTCAACGCCCTGCCCGGAACCCAGAATGGAACACTTAATAAATTCCCCTTCCTTCCTCCAGCCCCAGGGGAGTCTGGCCTCGCGGAGTGTGTACTCAGGAGACACATTCTAGATTAAACCTCCCTCAGAAAGATCAGGTGACACCTTCTCTCCAACCAGGATCACTGGATAAGGAGTTTGACCCGTGAGACCCACAGGGTCCCTCTCAGAGGGCTGGGCCCTTCTCCTAGTTGATCAGATTCTCAGGAGAACAGAGGCACCTCCTACCTGCTCTTCCCAGCAGGACTAAGAAACCGGTTCTCCCTCCCCCTGCCCGCCAATCCTGACCCCAGCCCAGCCCAACCAGGGCACCCAGAGTTCTCCACTTCCTCATTCCCTAGCCTCTGCCAACGGACTGTGAATCCCAGAGGAACCAGTCCCAGAACAGAGGCAACAAATTAGGTGTGCATGGATGCCTCTGCTCTAATGAGCCCTAGGGTGGAGACTGGGGAGAGGGGAGCAGGAGCAGGACTTGGACGGAGAAGGGCAGTAGGGGTTGATGTTGCTTTGGACGTAAGCATGGGAAAATCAGGGAGGGCTTCTTGGAGCTGGTGTCTTTCCCTCTGGGCACTTCAAGTGCCTTATGAGGAGATGGCAGCTTCGGGGGGAATGGGGGCCAGCTTTGTAAGGGGGCAGAGATGGGAACTGGTTCAATCACTCTGGAGGTCAAGTGTACCTGGCTGGAAAAGAGGGGAGGTTCAGGGGGCACATGTGGTGAGGACCAGAAGCAAGGAGGAGGATCCTGGCAATGAACTGCAAAGGACCAGGGTCTGAACGAGCCCTGGTCTTGGAGTCATACGGGTGTGGGACCCAGCCCCAGCCCTGCAGCTTACTATCCATCCAACCAACCACGAAGCTTCTGGACAAGTCATCTCCCTGACTCCCTCTGTAGGTTTCTCATCTCGCCTCTAAGAGGGAATAAGAAATTAGGACCACCCGCAGTTGTATCACATGAGAACTGAGGGCGGGTGGGCCGAGCACAGGGCCAGCTGTGCAGTGGTGACCCAGTGCCATCCACACCGCCAGGCATCTGGTAAGTGATCAGTCGATGTGTCTGGCTCTGTGCTAGGTACACCAAACTGCTCTAAGGAAACTCGTCTCCTGTTTCCATGATCGCTTAAGGGGGTAAGCTGTATAGCAAGTCCCCTGAGCAGCCCGGTTTGTCCCAGGCACCCGAGGGACCTCAAAGAATGACTGTGCGAGGAAGAAGTCAAAGTCGGGGGAGATGACAGCACGTGGGCCCTGCGCCTCCTCAGAGGCCACCAACAAGAAAAACTGGCGTATCACCATGAGATATTTGCAAAAGGAAAAGCAATTCTTTATTGCATGGCTAGACATGGTACAAACGACCTTGTTACACAATACTGTGGTTTCCTGCACCTTCCTGCTCTAAAGGAGGTGGGAAGGCTGGGGAGGGGCGCAGGGAGAGCATGCCAAGCAGCCAACTAGGAGACAAGGGACCCCTGGAGCTGGACCCCTCTGGGTCTAGAGTTTGCCCTTCTGGCCCCTCTGGCCAGCTGTCCACTCAGCGTGGGGAGGGTTGGGGTGGCGGGGGCGTCTCTCTCGCACTGGGTATTTAGATTTCTCTCTTTCGAGAAGAAACCACCTTTCCATCCACTGACTCTTCAACATTGATGCGGACTTTGCCGCCGCTGCCACCACCCAGGGAGGCTGTAGGAAGAGGGGTGAGCTTTAGAGTGGGAGACCCTCCCTGTCCTCCCTCCCACAGGGCCAGGACCTTGGCTGAGCTCTGGAAGAATTGGATAGCACTCCTGAGAATGGCCATTGGCCAATCCTAGAGCTGCCAGCAGGACTGGAATTACTCAGAAAGAGGTGGGTGGTGGCAGTGGCAGGTATGCCCTGCAGTGAGCAAGAATGTCAGGGTTTTTAAGCTGCACATAAACAGGAAGTAATCATGGGCATCTTACCATAAATACATGAAAGTGAGGGCTGGGGGGAGCTATGCCCTGGACCAAGCCTTCTCAGCCTGGAAGGTTCTCAATAAATCTTCAGTCTCAACCCTACCTGGGGCTGGTAGAGGGTCCCACTGGGTAAGAGGTATCAACAGAAATGGGCATGTCCCCACCCTACTAGGATACTTGGCCTCGTTCTCCTTCCTTTCCATTCCATGGGGAATCATGTCTTAAACAGCTTCCCTCCCCTCGCAACTCAGGAAGAGTTAAGCTTTCTTACCTTCTCTGGTGCCAATACCAGCCATCCTGAAAGAGGGGAGCAGATGTAAGCAAAGGGCAGAAGCTCAGGTCTCCCTAAGGGAGACCTCGGTAGACAGCTAAGCAGTCCCCCCCAGCCCCCACCCCACCCTCCTCCCCACATCTGACTTCTCTAAAGGCCGGGACATCCTGAGAGCCCTCCAGACCCGCCACCTCTAAGCAGAGGGATTCTGATCTATGATAAAACCCCATCTATTTAATGCTGGAAGTGGAACCAGCATTAAATCCGAGACCACTAGCCCAAATGTGTCATTTACAGAAGGCACACAGGTCCAAAGAGGTGACACAACCTGCCCAAGGTAACCACCGAAAACCAGAGCACAGCGTACAGAACCCGTTACTCCTTGCTCTCTTCTCTTTTCACTGTACACATCGCTGTGCCCTTAGGATGATGCTCCACCCTGACCACAACCGTCCCCTCCCTCATCCCCCCTCTACACCCCTGCCCCTGCTTGGATGCAGACATCGGGGCCTGACACCCTAATGCTCCACCCCTCTGACAGCCCAGGGTCCCACAGGTACCTTCCCACGGGACCTACTTGGCGTCCTGGCCCTCCAGCAGGCTGCGGTAGGTGGCGATCTCCTGCTCCAGCCGCGTCTTGATGTCCAGCAGCATCTTGTACTCCTGGTTCTGGCACTCCATCTCACTGCGGAGCTCGCTCAGCTGGGCCTCCAGGCCGCTGATGAGGCCCTGGATCTGCTGCAGCTGCGTGGCGTAGCGGCACTCCATCTCCGCCAGAGAGCTCTCCAGCCCGGCTTTCTGATGGAGCAACAGACCAACAGACACCACATCAGGCTAGGAGGGAAGCCGCTGAGGGCCTCTGGAGAGAGGGGCTGAATGAAGTGCAGGGAACCCCCACCCCAGAGGGAGCTGGGAAACTCCAAGGCTTAAGCAGCCATGGAGGGTGGGAGAGGCTGGAGGGGTAGGGCAGGGCGAGTCACACCATGCTGAGCTGGGACTGCAGCTCAATCTCCAGCCCCTGCATTGTGCGTCTCAGTTCTGTGATCTCTGTCTTGCTGGTCTGGATCATCTCTGTGTTGGAGGCCACCTCCTTATTCAGCTCCTCTGTCTGTAAGTAGCACACAAGAGCAGTGAGCTCCATGGGTCCCCTAGGAGCTCAGGGAGCTGGGATGGGACAGGCAGATCAGGCCCACCTTGCTGAAGAACCAGGCTTCTGCATCCCGGCGGTTCTTCTCCGCCATGGCCTTGTACTGCTCCCTCATCTCCGCCAGCATCCGGGTCAGGTCCACGCCCGGTGCGGCGTCCATCTCCACGTTGACCTGGCCGGCCAGCTGGCTGCTGTACTCCTTCATCTCCTGCAGGGCGGGTGGGCTCCATTCAGAGACAGAGGGCAGAAGGGAGAGCCGAGTCTGGGGTCTCCCATGTCAATCCCGGCTCCATCCCTAACTCATCCCCAGAACTTGGCTCTGCCCTGCACCCTTCCTCCGCCTCTGTTTCCCACTGCACATGAAGAAGTTTGATCACATGGGCCCCTCAGCTCTGAGGGTCTCCCCTGCCCTCTAAATCCTACCAAGGGAGGACCTCAAGGCACTAGGGTCCTTGTGTGAGCTCATGAATCAAATCAGGACAGTGGTTCCCACTGTCCACCCGGCCTGGCTACAGATCAGAGAAGAAAAGGGGTCTGGGTCACCAGAGGACGGTGTCCCTTCCTCTCCACTCTGACCACTGTTTTGCTGGGAGAGGGGCATATCTGAACCACTAAGCCAATAATGAGAAGGCCCCATTCTGCCTCCCAGCCCCCGACCCCCAGCCCCGCTCTCACCTCCTCATGGTTCTTCTTCAGGTAGACCAACTCCTCATTCAGGCCCTCGATCTGCATCTCCAGGTCGGTCTTGGCCAGGGTCAGCTCGTCCAGCACCCTGCGCAGGCCGTTGATGTCAGCCTCTACGCCCTGGCGCAGAGCCAGCTCGTTCTCAAACCTGGGAAGAAAGAGGGAACCCAAGTGAGGAAGGGTGAGGGGTCTGGGCCACTTGAACTGGGGGAGGGATGGGGAGGATGTACTTGAGTCTGAAGTCGTCGGCCGCCAGCCTGGCGTTGTCAATCTCCAGGATGACCCGGGAGTTGTCGATGGTGGCTGCCAGGATCTGCAGAAGATGGGGAGCTGGTGTCTAGAGGACCCCTCCTCTTCCCTGCTGCTCTCCCCACCCTGGACCCCAGGTCGGACCCCTCACTGACCATCTCCCCTCTGATACCAGCAATGGAAGCCTGTAGGGTCCAGGGCCAAAGTCCACCTTCACCTTGAGTGCTCACTACTTCATCTGCCCTCACACCTCCTCCTTGTCTCCAGAGCATGAAAGACCAAGGATCCCAGGTTGCCACTGTTGGGTGGGCTCGGTGCCCATCTCCAGGGCACTCCACTAGCCTGCCCTGTGGACAGCTCATGGTCGATGGCCTCCTGCACACCTTGACACAGCCATGCATCTACAGAACATCCCAGTCAACAGGAACCTGAGGAAGGCATTTTGCAGCTGAGGAAACCCGTCCAGGTGAGTGAAAGGTGAGTGAGTGGGTGGCAGAGCCCACAACCAGATCCAGATCTCCTAAGTCCCGGCAGTGCTTTTGCCACCAAAGACGTCCAAAAGGTGAGGCAGGCAGTCCTGGCATTCAGGACTCCCAGAGCTCCACTCCCAGTCTTGCAAAAGAAGCAAAGGAATGCTCCAGGCAAAGTCCTGCAGGGCGTGCGCTCTGCCCCCACCTTGGCCCACGCTGGTCCCCACCAGATTCCCAGGATACCCAGCACCCCCAGATTGAGCGGATGTGTGCCGCCAGCATCCGCACCTGGAATGCAATCCCCGAACTCCAAGTTTGCAGAGGTCACACACCGACAGCCACTGCCTGGGCAGGAAAGGATTTCTTCCAGACAGCCGGAACACTGCTGGTAGAGATGTGTGCAGGGCACCAGCCACCTGCTCCCCTCTCCCTGACTCCCGAGGACTCACCTTGTCCCGGAGCTCTTCTATGGTCTTGAAGTAAGGGCTGTAGTCGCGCTCCGGGCTGGTGGGGCTCTGCTTCTGGTACCAGTCGCGAATCTTCACCTCTAGGTCAGCGTTGGCCTCCTCCAGGGTGCGCACCTTGTCCAGGTAGGAGGCCAGGCGGTCGTTGAGGTTCTGCATGGTGATCTTCTCATTGCCGGAGAGGAGGCCACCATCGCCACCACCGAAGTCACCAAAGCCACCACCAAAACCCCCACCAAAGCCACCTCCAAGGCCACCTCCAAAGCCTCCGCCCAAACCACTGCCAGCCCCTCCACCCAAGCTGCCCCCGTAGCCCCCTCCTGACCCCAAGGAGACAAACCTAGCAGAAGAAGCTGTGATGCTACGGCTTCCACCTCCCCCATAGTGGCTCCCGCCGCCAAAGCCACCTCCCCCAGCCAGGAGGGAACCCCCTCGGGTAGAGCCACCCCCAAGGCTGGAGAAAGAAGTCTGCAGAAATGTGGTGCTCATGGCCAGGCAGCAGCCCCAAGCTCTCAGCAGTGCAAGAGAAGCTGGTGGGAGGCACGGGCAGGGCTGAGACCCAGGCACTGCCTGTCACCCCCCAGCCACCAGCTCCTTATATACCCCTCCGCGGGTGTTGTGGGACCGCGTCTCCTCCCCCAAAAGGGAAGCCAACTCCTTCTGCGTTCCCGACAAACACAGCTGCCTGCACACCACGATGTGGCCAGTGTGGGGGTTTTCTTTACTTTCTTTCTTTCTTTCTTTTTTTTTTTTTCCCCCTTGATGCAACAAAGGAGATGATTCAGAATGAATGGTGTTTTGCGCCCGGGGCTATGGTTTTAACACTTGAATTACAGGTTCATCTCTGCACTCCAGGAGAGCACGGAGAGGAGTGAACTCCCATCACATCTCCCAGGCTTGTGAGAGGCTCCAGCCAACTTCGCCCGTTGCCAGGCTTCTCTGCTGCCCTCTCTGAGCCCAGAACCCTCACCCCAGAACGGCCGACGCCTTGCTGTCAATTTGGGAATCCACTTTTCACCACTGCCCTGTGCTGTCCCTCAGAGCCCAGGCATGAGCCCGCGGGGCTCTGGGGATTGGTGGGCAGAGGCATGTGGAGGAATGCAAGCCCACGGGGACAGGCTGAGGACAGGAGAGGGATCTTGAGTCAAGTTGCAGCTGAGGTGACCAGAGGGGCCAGCATCTGTCACGTCCCTGATGCTGCAAATGGACATTTTTCCTCCACCCCCTCCCCCTCTCCCCCACCTGCAGCCCCCCTCCTGCTTCTCCAGTGCCCCCCAGCCCCCAGCCCCACTGCACTGGAAGTCTCACAAAAGCCAGCAGGCTCGGGGCTGACATGGGGCTGATAGATCATCCCGCCACCTGCCAACTACATGTCACCGAACCTTCGCCTTGCTGCAGGGACGAGTTGGGGCAAATCTCTGCAGATAAGACGGGAACAAGTTCCAGAAAGCCCCTGCCTTCTCCAGGGAGAGGCATGTTGCTGCACAGCGGGACCAGATTAACCCCATTTGTCCTGCCAAGAGCCGCCGCAGGGCTGAGGAGGGATCCGACCCAGAGGGCTGCACGTGCCTGAGCATTTTGAGGAGGAAGGGGAGAAGGAGGCCCAGCAGGCAGACTGGAAGACACCACGGAGATTTTTGAAGGCCAAGGCACCACTTCACAGAGCAGGATGCTGAGGCCGGAGAGGGGAGTCCAACACTCAGGAGAGCGTGTTCCTCTGCCACCAGCTCAGGGGCCCGCTTTCCTGGGACACCTGATACCTGTGGGAGAACCTCTGGAGCCAGGCCTGGCCCTAAGGCCGCAGCTCCAGGGTTGAGAGAGAGCCAGGGGTGGGGAAGTGAGCAAGACTAGACTGGAGAGTCAGGAGGAGGGGGTTCCTGGCCCAGGCCTTACAGCACCATGAAGTGGACAGAGCCCTGGAGCCCCTTGGGTCTGGGTTCAAGGCTGGTTCTATCAGTTGCCACTTGTAAAAACCTTCGGCATGGTACCTTTCAAGTCTCAGTTTCCTTGGAGCAACTGGAAACTTTCAACTCCCACTTCCAGGGAAGCCCGAGGCCCAAAAGTACCCATCCTGCCTCCTCTTGGCTCCCCATCTTATGAAGGGCCAGAGAGCGTGGTGCACATCTAATACCTGGGACTTCCAAGGACCCTCAGCAGGAGGAACTTTTGTCCTTGAGCACCAGATATACCCCATGAGTGAGCATTGTAGTCTTCCATATCCTATCACAGACAGCACCTCTTGGGCAATGCAGATCTTTGTTATTATTGCTCTAATAGGAGTAATTTCTTACTTGCACTGCATACTTCACGGTTTACAAGATACTTTTGCTTCCACGCCTCCAATCCTCACATCTCAGAAGATGATCCCTGCCCCTATTTCAGAAGGAATTGGGGCTCAGAGAGGGAAAGCGATTTGTATAAGGTGGCACAGCTAGTAAGAAGGCTTCGCCAGGACTCAGTGGATCCCCTGACCCCCACTCAAACAAGGAATAAGAAAGAAGGCTCACCCCCACAGACCCCAGACTCCTGCACCTGAGTTAAGATGTCAGAAGCGGGTGCAGTCCCGGGGTGTAGGGGCAGACTTCTCACCCAGCATCACCGTCAGCCGGGCCTCGCAGTGCTGAACCCAGACAGTGCGGTATTGTCTCGTGGGTGGGAGGATATTGTCTTTTCCTCTGAAAGAAAAATAATCAAACTCAGATCAGCCATAGCTCATTAAAGCCTCTGCAGACATTACGGCCCCAGCAATTACCATGAACAATTACGTACCGTCAGCCCTGGGTGAGGGAGGGCTGGAGCCCCGCCAACCTCTCTCTGCACCCTGACTCCCCTCCAGCAGCCCCTCAAGATAGCTTTCCCTACACTCTCAGGACCAGGCCAGGCGGCAGCTGGCCCAGTCTTGAATCCCTGGCTTCGGTCCAAACAGCTCCTATGAGCTCAAGGTCTGTGTGCCTGGGGCCTACACATTAGGGCCAGGAGGGGACAGCTGGATGAGGGCAAAGATCAAGCTCCATTTGGCCCTAGTCCAGACTGCGGCCCCAGGCCCTGCCCTAGGCAGCCCACCCAGGATGCCAATTTCTGTCCTTCGCCCACTGCAGACAGACAGGCTATCCACAGAGCCGGCCTTCTGTCCTGGGGATGGGACGATGCAGCCCAGCAGAAGGAGCCTGGGCTGGACTCCACCTCTGGGTGTGACTCAATGTCTCCGAACCAGGTTCCCAAATTAATATTGGGCCATTTTCCCATTTATATGAAGTACTGAGCAGAGTCAAAGTCATAAAGATGGAAAGTGTAATGGCAGTTGCCAGAGTTGGGGAGGGAGAGTAGGGAGTTATCGTTTACTAGGGATAAAGGTTCATCTTTACAAGATGGAAAGAGTTATGAGGATGGAGGGTGGGGATGGTTGCACAACAGTGTGGGTATATTTAATGCCACATAACTGTACACTTAGAAATGGTTAAGATGGTAAATTTTATGTTGTGTATTTTACCACAATAAAAAAAAAGAAAGAAAGAAAAACCCCACTGACCCCAGTAACACCGACCCCAGCTACAGGGCCACAGTGAGCATTTGATGGCCCATGGGGAGTGGAGGTCTCCATAAATGTTAGAGTCCACCCTCACCTCCTCTGCTCCCCAGAGAAATGCAGGGGGCAGAGAGAATATACACCCTGGGGCCTGGAGAATTCCTCGTTTCTCATTTATTAGTTATGTGGCTTTGGATAATCAAGCCTCCTCTCTCTGAGCCTCGGTCTACCAATCAGGAAAATGGGAATAACTCCAGCCCAGGCTGACTCACATGGATGGAGCAAGAAGACGGGCCGGAAATGCTTGCAAACTGAAGTGGTCATGAGAACCAGCCTGGAAAAACCTCACCCCTCAAATCCCCTCCCCGTTCGTCTCTCTCCCTCTCCTCTATCCCAGCTGCTCTGTCAACACACTATCCCTAGTTTCAGCTCCCAGACTGAGACAGAAGTGTCCCCACCCTCCACATACACACATACACACACACACAAAGGCAGGCTTTATTCCTGACACCCAAACTTGCGACCCAGCCACCAGCCCCACCTGTGTGGGCCCAGACCCCACCCCACAGCCACATTCCAGGGGCCTCTGGGGCATAGGGGAGGGTTTCAGCTGTGACAACAACAGAGGCTTTCATGAACAGGGAACAAATATCTCTGGGCAGTCCCAGCCTGGATGTGCAGCATGGCCTCTGGCCCCTAGCTCCAAGGCCTCCTAAGTTAAGAGGGAAAGAGGGAACGTGGGTGTTGATGGATAGCTGGGGGAGTGGCAGAAGGGCTCCCGGCCCAGGGCTGCAGCAGGGGTAGAGGAAGAGCTGGGCTCTTTGGTCACCAGCCTGTGATTTGGAGCAAGTGAATGACCCTCGCCAAGGCCCATGGGAAAATGGCAGATAGGGCACCTGCTTCAGGATGAAGGGTCTCAGGCCTCCTTGGCCCAATGCTGCACAGCCTGTGCCCCTAGAGGAGACCTTCTAGGAGGGTGGGGTAGTGCTTCTCCACTGACCCCTCCCTCACAGGGCCGGCCTGCTGTCACAGACGGATGCTCGGGCCCTGTGCAGTCCACTCAGCCTGAACCTCTCAGCTGGAATAAGTGGGACTTCTTATTTACCTTTACTTGGCCTCCGTTTTTGGCAGCTGAGCCGTAAACCACAGGGGCAGGACTCTACCCACCCAAGGGCAGAGCTGAACCAGGATACTGGGACTTGGTGTTCCTTTGTGGGCCCAGGACCGGCCCCAGGCAAGCCAGGTTGGGGGTCGTTGTGGGAGGTCTGGGTCACGGCTGGTTCCTATTCCAGGCTCTGGGCCCAGGTATGGGCTGGTGGGCGTAAGGGGCTGACACGGGGCTGCCCAGGGATGGATGGAGGTGTCCGTGCACGCACACGCACACACACCAACGGGCACACCCTCCCCAGCCAACCACTGAGCAGATGCCTGCCCCCGTTACCCAGGCTCTGACCCCAAAGCCCCAGTTCCTCCTTCAGTTAGGTGGAGAAATGTGTCAGGAGGAATTGCCTCAGGGGTTCCTCTGAACTTGCTTTGTCCCAGAACAAGACTAGACTGTGCTGAGGAACTGGTATGAGTCGTGTCATCCTAGGAGACAGGGGGGCAGGGTTGGCATTGTAGGTTAAGAATTAAGAAACGGGTGGAGGGATAAATTGGGAGTTCGAGATTTGCAGATACTAACTACTATACATAAAATAGATAAACAGCAAGGTCCTACTGTAGAGCACAGGGAACTATATTCAGTACCTTGTAATAGCCTATAATGAAAAAGAACATGAAAAGGAATATATATCTATATACGTATAACTCAATCGTTATGCTGTACACCAGAAATTAACACAACATTGTAAACCAACTATCCTTCAATTTAAAAAAAATAATAAACAAATAAATAAGAAAGTGCCAACAAGCAGAAAAAAAAAATCAGGAAATGTAGATTCTGGTCTTAGCTCTGCCAGGTAGTCACTGTGAGGCGTTGGGCAAGCTACTTAACCTCTCTCAGTCTGTTTTCCTGCTCTGTAAGATGTCACTCATATTATATTACATGGTACATAGTAGGTGCTCAGCAAACATTAATTACACCTACACAAACACACACCAACCCTTGTAGGGCAGTACCATAGTCAGAAAACTAAATCTGGAAGCAAAAACCAGTTTTAAATCCTACCTTTGCTAGGTGTTAGAACAGTTATCTGTACCACCAACCACCTCGCCCCTCTGGGCCTGAGTTTACCCCTCTGTAAAGTGGGAGCAATGCTTGGTTCACAAGTTTGTTTTAAGGAACAGGTGAGATGAATGAAGACGGAATAACCATAAGAGTTGGAGTTTGTGTGCGACCCCCTCTTCCCTTTCCTGGGACAGGGTGGACTCTGTTTCAAACAAAGCCAACAGTGCCAAGGCCCGGCCCATGGGCTGAAATAACAAACCCAGCATCCTTCTTCCCTTAGGCCATAAAGTTTTATTGGCAGCTCAGGGGGAGAGCCAGGGAAGGGTCCCTCCCCTCTTACGCCCCTATCCAGGGGAATCCCTCTGCAGGAGGGCAGGAAGCCGAGGGGGCCACTGGACTCAGAGGACCTTGGGCAGGGACAGGTCATTATAGTAGGCGTCCTGGCCCTCCAGCAGGTTTCGGTAGGTGGCGATCTCCTGCTCCAGGTGGGACTTGATGTCCATGAGCTGCTGGTACTCCTGGTTCTGCCGCTCGGTGTCAGCTCGCACGTCGCTCAGCTGGGCTTCGAGGCCGCTGATCAGTGCCTGGATCTGTGCCAGCTGGGCTCCAAAGCGAGCCTCCGTTTCTGCCAGGGTGCCTTCCAGGGCGGCTTTCTGAGGGCAGGGAGAGGGAAGGAGTCTCAGCCGTGCTTGGTGCTGAGAGAGGGCATGGGCACAGCAACCACCCAGACTGCCCAAGGCCGCGAGGACACGAGGGTGCTTCCCACAGGGCAGAGGGCACAGACCATGCTGAGCTGAGACTGCAGCTCGATCTCCAGACCCTGGAGGGTGCGTCGCAGGTCGGTGACCTCCGTCTTGCTGATCTGCAGCTGCTCCGTGTGGCCAGCGACCTCCTTGTTCAGCTCCTCAGTCTGCAGTGAGGGGAGGCAGAGGGAATAAGCCCTGAGGCAGAGCTCTGCCGGGGAATATTAAGCCCTCTCTCCTTGCCTGCCACCTCCCCACAGGGCACCTGCCTCCTCCCCCTCCGTACCTGGCTGGTAAACCAGGCCTCGGCATCCTTCCGGTTCTTCTCAGCCATGACCTCATATTGGCTTCTCATGTCACTCAGGATCTTGGCTAGGTCGATGGCCGGAGCGGAATCCACCTCCACGCTGACCTGGCCACCCACCTGGCCCCTCAGGACACTGATTTCCTGGAAAGAGACAGCAGAGGTGGGCATGTCAGGGACCAGAGCCTGCTGGGCCTGGGCCAGGTCACTCCCCCATCCCCCAGGCCATTGGGAGCTGGTTTCCAGATGCAGACCTAGGAGTGCTGACTGGGGGAGAGACAAGGGCACCACCATCCCCTGCTAGAACCCTTGAGAGCCATGCTACACACCCAGGGCCATGTTGAGGATGCAGCAAATGTGGCCAGAGTCAGAGGATACAGAATAAAAAATTGTCTTCAGTCCTGAGAAGCTGGGCTGGGATGGACAGGCCCAGCTTGAAACCCACCTCCTCATGGTTCTTCTTCAGGTAGGCCAGCTCTTCCTTCAGGCCTTCAATCTGCATCTCCAGGTCGGTCCTGGCCAGGGTCAGCTCGTCCAGCACTCTGCGCAGGCCATTGATGTCGGCCTCCACGCTCATGCGCAGGGCCTGCTCTGTCTCAAATCTTTCAGAGGAAATATTTGCAGTCAGGTCAGCATTTCCTCTGTACCTCTGAAGACATCCACACCTCTCCAGGGTTCAGGAGTCCGTGGAGGGCTGTGCTTCAGACTAGCTGGGGTGAGTGAGGGCAGAGTCCATCCCCCACCACTGCCCTGAGCCCCAAAAAGGCTTGAGATTGCCCCCCTCCATTGCTCTGGCTTCTGCAGCCTCCCCACCCCCACCCCAAGTCAGAGATGCTCACTTTGTTCGGAAGTCGTCTGCAGCCAGACGAGCATTGTCGATCTGCAGGACTATCTTGGAGTTCTCAATGGTGGCACCAAGAATCTGGAAGGCAGAAAGCAGGAGGTTGGCACCAGTTCAGCCTCCTGGCCCTACCCACCTACTTTCCCCTAGGAGAGAGAGAAGTATTACACATGACCCCACTCCCTAGAGACCAAAGCCCCAGCCAATCCAGGCTGCCCATCAGCCTGCTCTCTGGAAGGCCTTGGAATCAGTCCAGGCCCAGGAGCTGGAGAAGGAGAAACCACTGCCAGGGAGGCTGAGCCAGGAGGCAGGAGGTAGGCAGAAGGGCAGGGAGGTAAGCCTGGGGGGAAGGTCGGGAAACCTGCACCCAGGGAAACTCTAAATGGTCTTAGGGAGGCAGCCTCTAGTGATCTGCAGACCAGATGCAGGGAAGCACAGGGGTTACCCCGTTGTCATTTGTCCGTACCCCCTACTCAAGTCACATTTTGCCTTTAGGGAAAGGAATTCCTTTTGTTAAGCATCTATTACGTGCCGGCACTCTGCACCTCATCTTTCAGGTAAAATATATTTTCTAGTGCAGGTCGAAATCTTCAAAGTGTGAAAGCATTATCCTAGTTTACATCTCTAGCTCTCCCTCATCGACTGATCTGGTCTAAGCCCCGGCACCCAGCACCATGCCAGGCACAGGCGGGGCGTGGGGCTATGTTGGGGGGGGCGCTGTGCGTTTGGAGACTCAATATGTGATGCTGTTAAATGGCCCACTGGCTTCTGAAACATTTCTTCTGGACTGAGTTCAAAGCTCTGAGTTCTTCCCTGTGAGTGGAGACCAAGCCCCTACCCTCCTGGCCCCTGAGGGGCCCTGAGTGCCCCCCAGCAAGAGCCTGCAGCTTGGATGTGGGGTCCCCACTTACACAGAACTACTAATGCCCGTGGTCGTCTCCCTAGAGGTCTTTCTCAAGTTCGGCATGTCCCTCCCTTACTCCGTCCAGGGACCACAGCATATGTCCCTCCATAACCAGGGGTCATAACTGCCTCTCCCTTTCTTCCTACAGCTCCTCTAAGTCCCATATGGCCCCCTGGGCAGGGGAGGGGCTTCAGCCTGAGCGTGATGGAAACCAGATCTGTCCTGCCAGAGAAAAGGAATGCAGAGGGCCCCACACCGGGGCAGCAGAGGGCAGGTCTGGCCCGGGATGGACCAGATTCCTCCCTGGCCAAACTCTTGCATTTCCCTGTTGCGACAGCGGTTCAGGTCTAGACCTCAGGGGAACCCATCTCCTCCCGCTCCTTCTGACCCCTCTTCCCCGACCCGCGCGGCTTCTTCTTCCCGCCCTCTAGCTCCCCACACTAACCCGTCCCCGTTCCCCGCCCCCATCCCGCCCCGGGGCTTCCCCTTCCTGTCCCCACAGTCCAGCGCCTCCTCACCTGCCCGAATCCCTGTGCCCCACCCTGCGGGCCCTCCCACGTCCTAACGGGCTC